TACTGCCTATCACCCGTGGAAATCCAGCCTTTCCATAAAATTGTTCTTGTGATTTCTCTATTTGGTCACCAGTAGGCATACGTATATATTCTGGTTCTAATTCTGCAAGCGCAGTAGATACTCTTTTTACAATATTACAGGCACTGCTCTTACTAACATTAAAATAATCGCCACATGAAATCAAGAACTTTTCTGTAGCATAGAATCTCAGTGCAAGGAGCAATTGGTCGATAGGAGAGATGCTGTGATTCCTAAAAATTCGATTATTTATAAATTATAAATTATTTATTTATTATTATTATATTATTATTATGAAATACAAACCTGTCAGTTTGGAATTCTAATCTCGTCTCAATTTTAACCAAGATTGACAAAACTGTACTCTTTTTTAACCGAAATCTAACAAAAAAATCTTGGTCGTCTAAATCCTCAAAGTGGTTTTGTCTTTGTTTTATAATATATGGTCGACGTTTATAATGTAAAAGTTGGACAATATCCTCATCTTCAGCGGTTTCTAATAAATATTCATGTAAGAATTCTATTAAAGAGGTTTTCGAAAACAAAGCACACTGGAATGACAACTCACAAATCAACTTCACAAACTAAAGTCAATTATTCAAATTTGACCAATCATGTTTTATTTCCGTTTCTAATGTTAACACTCAGGGGTACCATCTGTTTTCTATCTTGTGGTTTGCTGCCTGTCGAGTAGAAAGTTGCTGGATAAACGCGTCACTGAGGTTATCTGTTAGACAAGTTTATCTATGAGTTACGTATCTGACAGATTTAACTCGACATTGATAAACCGGCCCTAAATCTATTTGATTTAATTTCCTTCAGGTACTAAAACAACTGCCATCTGTTGTGGCTGCCTTAATATTTCACGTCTGTCAAGTTGGCACTACATCTTGCGATTTGAATAAAAGAAATTATTGCATTAATTGTCGCTTAATTTGTTGTAATTTGTCGTAAAGTTTACAAATTTGTCGCGCCCTTTTTTATAAACAATATTTGATATATTGCATTTTTGACGTAGTGCTAACTTGACAGATGAATTCCATTTTCAATGTCAAAATTTCACCACTTTGTTAATGAAGCAACAAATCCTGGCGTTGTTAAGGTCAGTTAATATTTTAATGGATTCATTTGGAAGACCTTTAACCTGACTCATTCCAAAAGAGCAAAGAATATCCAGATACAATTGCCAAAACAAAAAGCTTACAATGATAACTTACCAATCTTAAAAAGAAAACTTAAAAATATCAAAACATTGCTTCAATGGGTAGAAGACGATTATAAACAATTTTACGAAGAAATTCTTGAAAATACCAAGGTCAAGAAGCCCAAACAGACCAAAACTAAGTAACTGTAGCTTATATTAATGTAAACTTTTGTGGTTTCGTGCGATACTACCTACATTATTAAAGTGATTAAAAGTGTGTAATCTGGTAAATTTCGTTTATCAATTAAAATTGTAGATTTCATCTTTGTTATTTATTATTAACTTATGAAACGGTTGAATGAAACAATTCTTTAGATATATTGTTTGATGATTTTCTTTCCATTTTATGTCTAATAAATAAAATTCGTTTTTGCACTTAAATGGATTTTTACCTAATTTTTCTCTCAACCTGTTTCGCTATACATTTACAGCATCTTCAGGAGATTACGGCATTTTGTTACAAACGTAACAAAATGTGTTACAATTTTGTTCAATATACAGGGTGATTCACATAAGAACCGACACAGAGCAGGGACATGTAGAGGACAATAAATTAAGATGATTTAACGCAACTTATCTCTATACTAAGTTGTACCCCTGAGGAGTTTTAGGCCTTCAAAGTTGGGTCTTAATTTTTTAAAACATTGAATATCTTCGTAATACATTCAGCTAGAAAAACCAAATTTGGTATATGTTATGAGTGTACCGAAGGTATTAATTGGTAGCAAGTTGAGACCAATTAAGGCATTTCAAAGGGTTGATTAAGGGTGATGGTCCTCTCAATTTTGACAGATTTTTTTAACCTTTTGGGAGATTTAATACATTATTACCTCATTTCATGTGGAATTTAATTCTAAAACTTTTTTTACTCTTATTATTTTTTAAAAAACATAGTTGTTTTCATAAAAAACTCAAATAACTAAAGACACGTATTTTGTTAATGCTACCTAAAATCACCCAAAATTCAGTTGTCGGCTGTGAAATTGTACGTCAAACTTGACAAATAGGTCATAAAATCTTGTCAAATAACTTTATAACCTATTTGTCAAGTTTGACGTACAATTTCATAGCCGCCTACTGAATTTTCGCTTATTTTAAGTAACATTACGAAGTAAGTGTCTTAAGTTTTTTATGAAAACGACAAAGTTTTTTAAAAAATAATAAGAGTAAGAAAAGTTTTAGAATTAAATTCCGCATGAATTGAAATAGTAATGTATTAAATCTGCCAAAAGGTTAAAAAAATCTATCAAAATTTAAGGTACCATCACCCTTAATCAACCCTTTGAAATGCCTCAATTGAGTTCAATTTGCTATCAATTAATACCCTTGGTACACTCATAACGTATACCAAATTTGGTTTTTCTAGCTTAATTGATTACGAAGATATTAAACTTTTTAAAAATTTAAGAGCCAACTTTGAAGGCCTATAATTCCTCAGGAATACAACTTAGTATAAAGGTAAGTTACTTTAAATCATCTTAATTTATTGTCCTCTACATGTCCCTGCTCTGTGTCGGTTCTTATGTGAATCACCCTGTATATAAACTTTTCTCCTTGAAACAAGGTCCGTTGAATGATAGAAGGTAATGCTCGAGATTATAAAAGCGTTTTTTTTTAAGTGTATCTTCTCTCGTTTCTTGAAAACAGGAGGCTACATAGGGTTTCTTATACATAGTAAATTGTGATCCCTCCGTGTGGGACACAATTAAATATCATTGGAACCGGACTTCTGAATACAGACTCCAGTCTTTTTGAAGTTCTACAGAGACGTTGTCGGAATTATTAAAAGTATGGCCTAGACATTATTATTTTTCAAAATATTTATTTTATTTTGTAATTAAATTTTCTTTTATAGGTTCATATTGATTTTTCAACTTTATTTCCGAATAAACCCAATAGTAATTTAATACCCGCATTTTCTGAATTTACAACAAAAATTGTTGAAATATACAAATCCGATATAAAAGATAAAAATAGTAAAGAATTATTTAAAAAGCAATTTTTGTTTTGAATTTTTTTTCAGCATGGCGAAATCTCAAAAGGTAAGATTGAAATAATTATTTGTACAACACTTGTGGATGTTCGTTTTTTAGAATTCAAAGACTGAGAGTGAAATATTTTTTAGTTTTATAAATAGGAGCTTCGATATTTTATCTTAATGCAATGTATTGAAGACACTTGCCTTGCAAAAAAAAAAAATAAAAGTAATTTAAATTTTCATTTATTTTTGTTATTGAGGTTACTATATTTTATTCGTGCATAGCCACTTATTTTCAGTTTTTACAATCATGTTTATGTTTAAAACAAAAGGTATTAATTTATGAAATATTGTTAATTTATACAATTAAAATATAATCTTTTGATTTAAATAAATTGAACAATTTAATACCAAGTGCATTTTTATTTAATTCTACAACCAACAACTACTATAATAATAGATACTTGCTTTTGATCTAAATTCAGTGTACTTAATATTTAGATCTTTCATATTTACTAGAAAGAAAGTGAATTATTAATGGTAAAATATTAATCTTTCGAATTGAAAATATTTTTTCTTTGAAGTAAATGAAAATTCATATTAACATTAAATAGTGTTTCATTTAATTTTAATTTATCTACTTATCAACTTTAAAGATTTCTTTATTTAATTTAGTTAACTATGTTTTAAGTGTAAATACTTGTAACTTTACGATAAAGAGATTTATTGTTTAATATTATCAGTTAGTCTTTCATTTCTAAAGCAAAATTATTTGTATTAAACGGTTTTGCTTTTTTTGTTAAGTACTTTGATACACTTACAATTGAATGGTGCAATGATTCAATAAGAACAGTAAATTCATTTGGATAAAAACTATATCCCTTTTTCCTTTGGTGTCACGTAAAAATTCTTAATCGTAAAGAATTATTTTGCTGAGTGTAAGTGCAAAAACGAATTTTATTTAATTCTTTAGATGTTTAATTAAACACCAAGCTTTCCATCCTTTTGTTCTTAAATTGTTATTTTTGTTATCTCTTGTAGACGCCCTAAGAATGATAAAAATTAAAAATTTAGTTTCTAAAAATAAATAGTTTATTTATGAAAGAAGTGATTTAGCGATTGATTTTGCAGTGATGTGCACATTGTGGTGGTGCACGTGGTGGTTAGTGGTTCACCGGAACTAATGTTATTCGCAAGGGCGCAAATACAAATTTAATACGGGGGCTTTTCATCGTTTCGTCACAAGTCAAACCGACGACAATACCGCGTGATTTAACTTTACGTATTATATAACATGGAGGGGAATAGCACATGTGTTACATACGCTGACACATAATTTTAATCAAATTCGTATTCTTCTAGAAAGTATATTTAAGGATTTTTGTGTTAACAATTAAAACATTATGGATATCTTAAATTAATAATAAAAATGTTAAGTTATCAAATAGAACTACAGTTTACTTTTCCATTTTAATAAAACAGTTGTAATAATTGTTGAAACACACTCAGGATCCGTATGATGAGAATGATGATGACCTTTAACCATGTATCGTCTAAATGGAATCAAATTAAAATAAGGCGACATTCGCTTTACGGAAACAACTCCCAAAGTTTCATTCATATAAATTACTATACCATCACATCGTATTGGTCGCTTCTTCAAAAATTGTTGCATATATTTTTGGGAGAAACTCGGATAAACTATTGATCGTAATTTTCGATCGAAAGTAAAAATATATTGATCTTCTCCAACTTGTTTCATCATCCTCGCTCCTAATTGTTCACCACATTCATAATTTAATCGGCCCAATATTCGACTGGTTGCGATTCGATCAACAGCTTGTTCGTACGATAACGTTGGTGTTTCATCTTCTTTGTAACTCAATACTTTCATTAAAGTGTTAAAACCTTCAATGAGATCGTCGGCGAAAAGATGTGGTTCTTTTGGTGGTGTATACGCAGAATCTAAACAAATCATTTTTGCTATTAACTCAGGATATAGTTGAGCCGTTATTAACGAGATTCTCACTCCAAGACTGTGAGCTAATATAATATAATTTTTTCGTTTGAAATAATCCAATACTAGTTTCATTCCTACTTGAAAATTGAGAAAATGTAGTGGGAGCGAGGATGGAAAATGACTTGAGCGTCCATGACCAGGTAAATCTATGCAAACGTAATAGAAACATTCTGGTAGTAATGGGATTAAAGTGTCAAATGATCCGGCGTTGTCTAAAAGTCCGTGAATGACGATTATTACATAATCAGATGGATCACCCCAAGCTTTAGCTGAAAAAGAAAAATAATTTAATAAAATTGAACTAAAACTAATACTATCACAGAACTAATATTAGACCTACAACAAGAAATTTTCGGGTTAAGCACTGGGTCTTTTGAAAAAGTATTTGACGTTTCTTCAGAAACAAGTTCGAAGTGACGAAAATGGTAAGAGTTTGATAAAATATACATGAAAAAACAATCAATTTTTAATTAACACCAATTACTAACTAATTATCAACTAAGTTATAAGTACGAAGGCTTTCACGGCTGGTGTTACTTAAACTAAAACTAGAACTAACACTAGCACAGAACTAACACAAAACAGACATTATTAAAACAGATATGCGACCGTGGTTATAGAGAGAAATGAATACGACGACAAGATCATGAGCCTTTTGGACGTAGCCACCTATAAGAAGATAAAAATGGACCCAACCGAGAATGTGTAGTAAGAAAGATGAAAGAACTGGTAAAATCCACAGGAATCCCAGCAGAACACTAGAAAAGCTTATTCGTACAGGCCCCAGTACCCCGAAGAGGTCTCACCACGCCCTATTGTCAGTGCCATACATTCTCCCACCTATCAGCCAGCTGAGATTACACACATTTTGTAGAATCAATCAGAAGTATGAAGACCCTCACGATATCCTGGTAAGTTTCGACGTGGAATCTCTATTCACCAGAGTACCAGTCAAAGATGTCGTGGATGGTCTTCGCCAGAAACTCATCCCGGAGGGTTTGCCAAAATATGTTCCAGGACTACTGGTGTAATGCGAAGGGGGAGCCATGGGATCATCTCTGTCACCTGTGATGGCCAAAAAACATGGAGATGTTTGAAGAGGAAGCGTTAAAGAGGAGTCTTTGGAAACCAAAGCTATGGCTTTGTTACGTCGATGACACTTTCGTGATTTGTCAATATGAAAAAGAGCAACTCCAGGAATTTCTAGACCACCTTAATTCACAGCATCATATGGTAAAATTTACCATGGAAACAGAAACCGCAAAACAGTTACCATTCCTGGATGTGTTGGTCACTAGCACCAACAGGCAGCATGGAACTGGGAGAATATCGAAAGAAAACGCATAAGAATAGGTACCTGCAGGCTTCATCCCACCACCACCCACAACAGAAGAGGTCCGTGATTTATTATTCCACCGAGCAGAGAATATGTAATAAAGAGAATCTGAGGAAAGAAGAAATATACCTAGAAGATGTACTGTAGAAGAACGGCTATACGATAAGGGATAACCAACGAGCCACCAAACCACGCAAACAGAAGGATGACTCGGTAAGGACGACACCAGCCGGTTTTATCTGCCTTCCTTATGTTTTAGGTGTGACGGAGCGAATTGCGAAGTGTCTGAAGAAGAATGATATCGTGGTACGATACCGTACGATCAGCAAAATACAAAACGCTCTTTGGATAGCCATAGAGAAACTAACCCCATTAAAGGGAGCGGGAGTCTATCGGCCATCGTGCAGTTGCGGGAAATATTACGTTGGACGTAATATCGAATGTCTGCGACTGTATTACCACAAAGGAGGACACACCATAGAGTTTGATAAAACCTAAGTACTAGCAAGAATCTTGGACATTACTTCCGAAGATTGACGGGAGAGGCGATGAATCTCTTTATACTTCGTCGACATGGGAATAACATGAATAGAGAAGACGATCGAAATCTCAGCTGCACATGGAAGATGCTAGTGAACTCACCGAAACCTTCCATCCGTATTTGACAAAAACAACTTAGTTGACAATTCTTGCTACAATTCTCCTTTCTAGCTAAAATATGTAGATGTTAAACTCCATTAGCCCTAGAACATAATTCGATAAGTTTCTTTCGAATGCACCATCTATGCATCTTTCATTGGTACTCTGGTAAATAGAGATTCCACATCGAAACTTAGGATATATAGATATCCTGGGGATTTCACTTCATATTTTTGATTCATTCCACAAAATGCGTAGAATCTGTGACATATGATTCTGTTTTTTCTCTAAATGGAGATAGAATCATGGCAAGGTGTTTCGCTAACTGATACGTTGGAGAATTGGTGGCACTGACAGTAGGGAGTAGCGGGATATTTGGTTCACGGCCAAATAAATCGTCATAACATGCACTACTGGTCACATGAAAATCCTCGTTGGCTAAGACAAGTTGATCATCAAAAACCTTGATCAGTTAATGTCTGGTGCTGCATTGTCGGCAAGAAAATAATTTAACCTTTTTTTATTGATGGCAATTTAACTGGCAGAAAGTATCGGAATTTTTTGTTGAACGATTTACCGGTTTTGTTGGAAGACCTTACTCTGGAGCGAAGACTTGCGCTATGGTATCAGCATGATGGATGTCATTATGCTCTAGCCGCAAAAAAGAAAATTTGAGCCTTAGGTCCATTACTACCATCTTTTAGTTAAATTTATCTTATAGATAAACCCATCTACTAGCCAATGAGAGCGCGTAAAATAGCCGTTACCATGGTAATAATCCCTTAGATAGCTTAACCAGAAGATCCAATGCTATCTGTGAGTTAAGCTATCTATAAGATACAATTTATCTCGTAGATAACAGGGTCGTGCGTACTACCACCTCCATTTATCTCATAGTTAAGAAATCCTTGAGATAACCAAGGACTCTAGGGATTTTTTGGTCTACTATATTAAATTGACAGCTCTATGTTGTCAAAAGATCTACTATTAGGTATTTTGACGATATTCTAACCTGTTCTAACCTTAAAATTAAAATTTGGAAATGGAGACTGAGAAAAGGCGACAAACCACCAGTTTCATCAAAGACGAATGCGAACATCTTCTTGAATTTGTTATCAAACATAAAAACGTAATAGAAAACAAAAAAAGTGATGCAGTTACATGGCAAGGAAAGCTAAAAGTATGTATACTCGTATTATTGTATGTTAAAATGTGATGGTAAACAATAATGGCACAACTAACATGATGAACGACTGAAGATGCCAATTGTACACTCACTCCTGCAAAATATGCTATGGATCGCAACATGTTACCTATTGTATAAAACCGAAGAGTCAGCAACAAACGGTTTGACGGAGGCACAGCATCATTACTAAAATTTTGATGAATTTGATGAAATTTTTGACTTTTGATTCTCAATGAATATTTAAATGGTCAACTCTACTCCTTATTATCCTTTCGCTTCTTATAGGAAATAATTCATTGATTTCTTCAAAAATTTGTTCTTCATCTCCAATATCGAAGAAATTATCCATGATGACTTTATCTAATGTTACTTTAATGTTAAGTTTATATTACTTTTTTTATTTTAACTGAAATAGTAAAACGCTCGAATTTTATACGTCAGTATAAATCCTATTTGAGGTTAGGTATCCGCAGTTATCCCTTAGTTATCAGCACGGGTTACAGATATTTCAAATGTTATCTTTTGGATAGCGGTATCTATAAGATAAATACAGTGGTAGTAACCAATTTTTAAGCTATCCGATAGATAACGCTATCAGAGACTTTAACTATGAATGGTAGTAGTGGGCCTACCAAAGCGCTTAAAACCGGTGTAACCATGGTAATAATCTCTTAGATAGTTTATCAGGAGGATGGTAAAAGGGGACCTAAAGGGAACAGGAGTCTATCGGCTATCATGTAGTTATGTGAAGTATTATGTTAGTCAAACTGGACAAGACTCAGCAGTTTGGGAGTTGCAGAGCATTGCCACGAAAAGGGATAAGACCAAGGTGTTAATCAGAGCCGGAAATTATTTCCAATTCATCGACATAGGAATAATTCACTTCGAACTTGTTTCTGAAGAATGTTGCAACATAGCATCCGAAACGTGAAACAATTTTTCAAATGACGCATGTCTTAACTCGAAAGATTTTTGTTCTAGGTCTAAGGTAAGTTATAGTGATAGTCTTCGTACTTTTAATTAAATAAAATTTTAATATTAAAACGAGCCGAAGTTGTTTTGGTGTTGTGTTGGTTGCATAATTATATAATATTTTTGATAAATATTCATAAAATTTTGTTGAGTCATGCAAAAATGTCATTAATAACTTTTTTGTAATAGCAAAAAATTTGTTTTACGTAATAATTAACATTAAGATATTTGGGTTGCCTAATTTAATAATTTAATAAAAATCAGCTGATTCGTTGTAACTACAATTCCAAGTAATTTGTAAAAAATATAGTTTTATTCATAAATATTTACCTGCGATGTGTCCCCAAGGAACAGGTATTTCGATTTCTTTAATCACCAACATTTTATATCTTTGCCTTCCTTATTTAAATGAATATAATTTTACTAGAAACCAAATCACTTTCACTTTAATAATATTCGTATTATAAATAATTATAATTATTCTATTGCTTTACTTTATTTTTAAAGATAATAGCAACAAGGTTTTCACTATAAATAAAAACTGTATTACAAATTTTATCCAAAAAACCCACAGTTTTTGAACCTCACTCTGAACGCACGTTGAGTATTATTAAGTGTTTTTACAACATTTAATACAACTTGTGAGAGTTTTTATAGTAAAAAATATGATTTGTCATTGTGTAGTGCGATTAGATTTTGTGAAAATCGTATGAAGGTTTAAAGTCGTGAAATATTTGCTTTTTTTAATTATTAAATTTATTAAATTATTAATAAAGGTATGGATTATATTGTTTATAATTTTATTTTTATTTTAAAAAATAAAATAAAAAGTTATTTTATAAATTAATCTATGTATATACAATATTTCAAATAAATTAACTACAATAAATAACTAAAATTATTTACAATTTAGTTGATTCATTTTCATGGCTTAATTTATCAAAAGTAAACTTAGCAATTTCTCTTAAATTGGCACTCATACTTGGACCAGTTTCATCAACCATTTTAGAAAAGTAGCCATCACTATTTTGCAACAATTTGTGCGGATGATCAAATTCGACCATTTTTCCTGAATCCATTACCAAAACTTTATCTGAATCCATAATCGTGTTTAATCTGTGCGCAATCGTTAAAACAGTGCATTTCTTAAACTTCTTTCGAATAGTTCCTTGAATTAATCCATCAGTTTGAGGATCAACATTAGCAGTAGCTTCATCCATAACCAAAATTTTATTATTCCTAATAATAGCTCTTGCAAGACAAATTAGTTGTCTTTGACCCACACTGAAATTAGCTCCACCTTCTTCAACTTTAAATTCTAACGATGGAACAGATTCTTTTAATTCAACTTCTTCCAAAGCGTTCCAAAGGTCAATATCGCTGTATTCGTTGAAAGGATCTAAATTGTATCGCATTGGGGCTGAGAAAAGAACGGGTTCTTGAGGAATAATTGAAACTTTCGAACGGATATCGTGAAGACCAACAGTGGCTGTATCAATTTTATCAACCAAAATTTCTCCTTCGATTGGGGCCAATCTAAATAGCGCGGACATTAAAGATGATTTTCCAGCACCGGTTCTTCCAACGATTCCAACTTTTTCCCCGGATTTAATTTCGATATTCAAGTCTTTTAATACTGGAGGATCTTCTGGTGCATATTTCAAATACATTTTGTTGAATTTTACCCCACCATCAGTTGGCCAATCTTTCGCAGGTTTTTTAGCTAAAAACAAATAAAAAAAAATTAATTACAGAAAATTATTTTAAATAAAAGAAAAAGGAAAGCGGAAGGTTTATTCTGGAACGATTTAAATGAAGTAAAATAAATAATCAGGGGGACTATTTTTATAGCTGGAGATTTTAATAAAAATCTAAATATCCCCAACTGCTTCCAAGTGTATCTAACACGTTGAGCACCGTGTGTCCACCGATGGAAATTTTTTGTATACTTCCAGAGACATAAATTGTCCCTGGAACCATGTTATTAATGGAAAAACTCGGGAATCGGAGCTTTTCACAAAAAATCATTTAGAACAAAATTTGTAGCAAATTTTATTCTTAACAATAATGCTCTCTTGCTCTTTTGCTCTTAGAGGCGTCAATATTGAGAAAAATTCAAAAATATGAAAATTTGAAGAATTTGTTGCATTTCAACTTATTAATGGTAAAATCGGAAATCGGAGCTTTTCACAATAAAACTTTTAGAAGAAAAGTTGTAGCAAATTTGATTCTTAACTATATTGCTCTCTTCCTCTTTTGCTCTTAGAGGTGTCAATGTTGAGAAAAGTACAAAAAATATGAAAATTTGAAGAATTTGTTGCTTTTTCAAATTCTTAATGGAATCACTCAGGAATCGAAGTTGTTCACAAAAAAACTTTTAGAACAAAAGCTGTAAAAGCTATTATTCCTAACAATATTGCTCTCTTGCTGTTTTGCTCTTAGATGCATCAATATTGAGAAAAATATGAAAATTTGAAGAATTTGTTGTTTTTTTCAAGTTATTGATGGAAACACTCGGGATGCGGAGCATATTACAAAAAAATGTTTAGAACCTAAGTTGTAGCAAATTTTATTCCTAACAATATCGCTCTCTTGCACTTTTGGTCTGAGATGCGTCAATATCGAGGTAGATACGAAAATATGAAAATTTGATGAATTTATTGCTTTTTCAAGTTATTAAAGGTAACACTTTGGAATCGGAGCTTACTATAAGAAAACTTTTATAACAAAAATTGTTGCAAATTTTATTGTTAATAATATTGCTCTCTTGCACTTTTGCTATTAGATGCGTCAATATCGAGGTAGATACGAAAATATGAAAATTTGATGAATTTGTTGCTTTTTCAAGTGATAAAAGATAACCCTTAGGGATCGCAGTATGTTACAAAAAAAATTGTAGTACAAAAGTAGTAGCAAATTTTATTGTTAACAATATTGCTCTCTTGAACTTTTGCTCTTAGATACGTCAATATCGAGGTAAATACGAAAATATGAAAATTTTATAAATTTGTTGCTTTTTCAAGTGATTAAAGGTAACCCTTAGGAATCGCAATATGTTACAAAAAAAATTTCAGTATAAAAGTTGTAGCAAATTTTATTGTTAACAATATTGCTCTCTTGCACTTTTGCTCTTAGATACGTCAATATCGAGGTAGATACGAAAATATGAAAATTTGATGAATTTTTTGCTTTTTCAAGTGATTAAAGGTAACCCTTAGAAATCGCAGTATGTTACAAAAAATTTTTTAGCACAAAAGTTGTAGTAAATTTTATTGTTAACATTATTGCTCTCTTGCACTTTTGCTCTTAGATACGTCAATATCGAGATAGATACGAAAATATAAAAATTTGATGAATTTGTTGCTCTTTCAAGTTATTAAATGAGCAAAAGAATGACCAAGTAAGCAGCCTGTAGGAGAGAAAACGGAGCCTGTAGGAGAGCGTTGTAAGCGCTAATCAACAAAAAAAAATCTTGGTGCCAGAATAGAAAACACACTATGTCCACCGGTGGCCACGCGGCGCTCAACGTGCTAAATGTGTGTCTAAACGTCCCCAACTGCTTCCAAGTATGTCTAAATATGTTAAACTGATTTCAAGTGTGTCTAAATATGTGTTTAGATGTTCCCAACTGATTCAAAGTGTGTCCAAATGTGCTCCGCTGACTTCAAGAATTTCTAAATGTGTGGAAAAAATGTCCCCAACTGCATCCAAGTATGTGTAAATGTGCTCAAGTGATTCTAAGTGGGTTTAAATGAAAGCTTTACAATGAAACAGCAAAGAGACGAAGGCTAAGAAACACAGCAAGAAGAGCAAATAGATGCTATTAAACAGCTAAACATAAGTAAAGCACAGATTATAGCCGAAATGGTTAAAAAGATTGGTATCCGAAGAATTTGTTACTGCATATGAAGGAGTAAGATAAGGGGGAAGCTTAAGTCCACTATTATTTATAACCTTTACTGATGAACTGTTCAAAGAGACCCAAAGAATAGTAGAAATGTAGAAACAATTAGCATATGAATGTGCCTTCGCAGATTATATCGCAATTTTAGCTGGAAGTGAAAGAGACTTAGAGGAAAACATCATTATATGGATGAATGGAATAGAGTATTAATCGAAAATGGGATGAGATTAAATAAAAAGAAGAATAAAGTTATGGAAGAGTTTTGATTATATATAAAATAATTTTAAATGAAAATTTACCTTCTGGACTCTCGAAAGGTCCTTCCATATCAAGTTTCGTATACTGCAAAATACGTTCAACGCTGGTTAATTGATTCACAACTTCAGCAGTTTGTCTCATTCCATGTTGCAACATTCCGGTTAATCCTAAAGATTGTGAAACAGCTAAACCCACCATAGCACCACTGACATCGGTTGCTAAAAAGATATCAAATAATTAATCAAAATTAACCTTAAAATAATTTTTCCTCAACTTACTTTCGCTTACAACGATAAAGCTGACCAAAATACACGTTAAAAAGACGACGCAAAGAAGATCCAACCATAACCCGAACGAAACCATAACGGAAATTGTCATAAACCAAGCTGAAGTGTGAGCATCTTGATGCCGATCGAATTCTTTTATTAAAGACATTTCGGCGTTTGAAGCTCTAATCGTTGAGATGCCACTTAACGTTGAATTGAGAAGTGAAAAAACGGGACTTTTTGCGATACCTTCGACGTGTTTAATACTTTTAGCCGTTACCAAAAACCAACGTCTTAACACGATGAAGACAACCACCAAAACGGCGATAACGATCAACATCCAAATATTTGCGATACTAATTAAAACTAATGAACCAGTCATAACAAGCATGATTTGAAGGGCTTCGCTTAAAACTCTCGGAAGTGTTTCATCCATAGCTCCGGTGTCTTTTGAGAAACGATTGAGAATACGCCCACTTGGGTTTGTATCGAAGAATCGCATCGGTGCTTTTAATAAGCAATTAAACATTTTAGCATGTAATCTTTTTGATGAATTACTGGCACATCTAAAGAATAAGTACGAACGCATCATCGTTAAAAGAATAATCAAAATAATTAAAGCGCTGTAAATGTATATAGCATTATACGTGTTGATGAAACCATCGTCATCTCTTAAATCGCGTTGTTGAACGGTGTAATTGAAATCGGAGGTTGTGCCAAACATGTAATTAAAACCGTGAATTGTTGATCTTTCCACTCTTGATAAAAATCCGTAAACCATTTCAGTTTTGCTATGATGCGATTTCGTTTCTTCTCCACCTTCGGGGGGAGGATCTTGATTGTAAAGGAATCTTAATTCTTCTTGTTCAGTCCAATAAGAAACGAAATAATCCGCTCCACTGCATGCAGTTTGACTTGAAACAATCACCATAGCGAGTGTTAAGATAATGCAAACACTCCCAGCCGCTTTTATATAATCGATACTTGCTGATCTACTTGGAATTACGATTTCTTCATCTTGACGTTTTACTTCTTGATCATCAAAATCAGCACCAGTTCCAGTACTCTACAAAAAAAGTTTTAAGTTAAAGTTATAATTTAAATAATAAATTATTACTTACTCCCATTGATGACGTAGATTCTTGCCGACTTCTCACCCTCTTTAATTCTTTTTCCGGTTCTTTCTTCTCAACAGTTTCATCAGCAGCAACCAACATTTTAGTGAAATCTAAATCGGCTCTTGAGAGTTCATCGAATGTTCCTTGGGCTTCAATTCGACCCTAAAAAAAAAATTAACAATCTAATGCTGAATAATAACTAATACTAGAACTAACATTAGCATTACAACTAACACTAGGTCTAGAACTAGAAACGGATTTAGCCGTCTTAAGAGACGTACGGTTAAACCCGAATGTTTCTAGTTCTAGGTCTAGTGTTCGTTCTACTTTCATTCAATAAAAGTATACCTAGAACCATCTAGGGCTGAATAACAATTAAAATTAAAACTAACACTACACCTAGCGACCGAATGTTTCTAGTTCTAGATTTAATGTTAGTTCTAGTTTTAGTTCAATGAAAAATATACAACAATCTAACTCTGAATAACAAATGAAACTAAAGCTAACACTAGCACTAGAACTAACACTGGACCTAGAACTAGAAACATTCGAATTTAGCCGTGCGTCTCTTAAGATGGCTAAACCTGAATGTTTCTAGTTCTAGGTTTAGTGGTGGTTCTACTTTTAGTTCAATAAAAATGTAAAATCATCTAGCGCTGAATAACAATTAAAAGTAGAACCAACACTACACCTAGAGACCGAATGTTTCTAGTTCTAGATCTAATGTTAGTTCTAGTTTTAGTTCAATGAAAAATATACAACAATCTAACTCTGAATAACAACTGAAACTAAAGCTAACAGTAGCATTAGAACTAACACTAGACCTAGAACTAGAAACATTGGGATTTAGCCGTGCGTCTCTTAAGGCGGCTAAACCTGAATGATTCTAGTTCTAGGTTTAGTGTTGGTTCTACTTTTAGTTCAATAATGTTGTACAATAATCCAGCGCTGAATAACAATTCAAACTAGAACTAACACTATACCTAGAACTAGAATTATTTGGGTTTAGCCACACGTCTCTAAAGACGGCTAAACCCAAATGATTCTAGTTCTAGGTATAGTGTTAGTTCTATAGAACTAAAAGATACTTCTAGAACTAAAATCATTCAATTTTAGCCGTCTTGAGAGACGTGCGGCTAAATCCAAATGATTCTAGTTCTAGGTATAGTGTTCTATAAAGTAACAGTGCTAGTGTAGAACTAGAACTAACGCTAGACCTAGAACTAAAATCATTCAGGTTTAGCCGTCTTGAGAGATGTGCGGCTAAACCCGAATGCTTCCAGTTCTAGCTCTAATGCTAGTTCTAAAGACAGTGCAAGTTCAAAACTAGAACTAACACTATACCTAGAACTAGAATCATTTGGGTTTAGCCGTCTTTAAAGATGTGCGGCTAAACCCAAATGATTCTAGTTCTAGGTATAGTGTTAGTTCTACATAGTAACAGTTCTAGTTTTAATTGTTATGCAGCGCTAGATGGTTGTATATTTTTATTGAACTAAAAGTAGAACCAACACTAAACCAAGAACTAGAATCATTCGGCTTTAGCCGTCTTGTGAGACGCACGGCTAAACCCGAATGTTTCTAATTCTAGGTCTAGTGTTAGTTCTAGTTTTATACTAGCGTTATCACTAAAACTAACATTAGAAATAGAACTAGAATCATTCAGGTTTAGCCGTCTTGACAGACGTGCAGCTAAACCAGAATGTTTCTAGTTCTAGGTCTAGTGTTAGTTCTAGTTCTATACTAGCGTTATCACTAAAACTAACATTACAAATAGAACTAGAATCATTCAGTTTTAGCCGTCTTGACAGACGTGAATTTCGTGAAGTTCTAATTAAAACTAGAACTGTTACTGTGTAGAACTAACACTATACCTAGAACTGGAATCATTTGGGTTTAGCCGCACGTCTCTAAAGACGGCTAAAGCCAGATGATTCTAGTTCTAGGTATAGTGTTAGTTCTATACAGTAACAGTGCTAATGTAGAACTAGAACTAACACTACACCTAGAACTAAAATCATTCAGGTTTAGCCGTCTTGAGAGACGTGCGGCTAAAACCAAATGCTTGCAGTTCCAGCTCTAATGTTAGTTCTAACGACAGTGCAAGTTCAAAACTAGAACTACTTGCACTGTCACTAGAACTAACATTAGACCTAGAACTAGAATCATTTGGGTTTAGCCGTCTTTAAAGATGTGCGGCTAAACCCAAATGATTCTAGTTCTAGGTATACTGTTAGTTCTACATAATAACAGTTTTAGTTTTAATTGTTATGCAGATGGTTGTATATTTTTATTGAACTAAAAGTAGAACCAACACTAAACCAAGAACTAGAATCATTCGGCTTTAGCCGTCTTATGAGACGCACGGCTAAACCCGAATGTTTCTAATTCTAGGTCTAATGTTAGTTCTAGTGACAGTACAAGTGTCAAACTAGAGCTAACACTATACCTAGAACTAGAAGCATTTGGGGTTAGCCATTTTAAGAGACGTACGACTATACACAAATGTTACTAGTTACAGATCTAGTGTTAGTTCTACTTTTAGTTCCATAAAAATGTACAGCGATTCAGCACTAAAACTAGAACTGACACTAGATTTACAACTAGAAATTTTAACTATAAGTAGATTACTTACATCATTCATAACAATGATCATATCAGCTTTCTTCAAATATTGCAATTGATGGGTAACCAAAATTCTAGTTTTTCCATGTAAATATTTAACGATACATTCTTCAAAAAGATGTTTACCAACGTGAGTATCAACAGCTGATAGAGGATCATCCATTATGTAAATATCGGCATTTCTATAAATGGCTCTGGCTAAATTGATGCGAGCTCTTTGACCACCACTCAAAGAAACACCGCGTTCCCCAACTAAAGTTTGATCGCGCTGTGGGAATTGTTGAAAATCTTTCTCTAAAGCGCAAACTTTAACCACTCGATTATAATGTTGTTTATCGAGTTCTTGCCCGAAAAGAATATTTCCACGCACGTTTGAACCGAATAACCACGGTTCTTGAGATGAATATGAAATTGTTCCGCCAACTTTTATTTCTCCGGTTTCCGCTTGAAGTTCGCCGAGTAAAAGTTGTAAAATTGAACTTTTTCCTGAACCAACAGGACCGATGATTGCGCATAAAGAACCTGGTTTAATGTTTATATTGAGATCTTTTAATGTATTATGTTCTTCGGTCCAATTTGCGCTTACTTTATTCACTTCGATACCTTTATCTTCAGTTTTAATTAAATTTCCTACTTTTCTTTCATCCATCATTAAAAATTCTCTTAAACGTCTCAACGAAACAAGACTTTCAGCTGTCATTTGAATCGCCAATGGTAAAAATATAGCTAAAGCCATTTGAAGAAGATTAAAATATTGACTTAAGGTAAACGTTATGTCAGAAGATAATTGATTATCTAACAAAACGAAAGTGATTAGTGTTAAATAAAGGGTTGTTCTTTCAACGAAAACCATTGAACTTAAGAAAACAGCTCGAATATAATTAGCAACTCGGATAGCTTTGACTTCATTGATGCGACATGCATGAACAAGTTTTTCGAAAGGTTTTTCCCAAGCGTACATTTTGATTACTTGTATTCCGGAAATGATTTCGTTCATTAATTTAACACGGGAGTCGGTTCTTACGGCTACTTTTCCACGCCATTTTGTTGTTAATTTTCCCATCACTACTTGAAGAGGAATTGTAAATATCAACATACTAATAATTCCAGCTAAACACGCAATTCCAACTTGATCTTGAATGAAATAAGTGACAATTGCTACTTGAAACGGTGAAATCCAGAAGAAATGAAGAGCTATTGCAACGAAATCAAAACGTTGAACATCGTTTGCTAAAAGATTCACTACTTTTCCAGCTGCTGTATCACCAAGAGATTTTTTACTTAATTTCAACATCTATAAAAATTAAAAAGAAAATAATAGTTTTGTATTTTTAGAAAAGATTTTTAATAAACTTACTTTTCTGTACACTAAAGTTGAAACTGCTATTCTTACTCTCATTCCGACTGATTGTTGCCCAAAATTAGTATGATGTTGCAATAAAACCGCAAGAAATACGACACATACTAATATTAATCCGGTAATGTATTTTGCTAATTCCATGTTTTCGGGATTTTCGCGTTTAGTGAATAATCGAAGAAGGTAACCCAATACCAATGGTTGAAAAACTCTGAAATAAAAATTTCATTTATGATAACTATAGAAAACGAGCAATTAATTAAGCAATTAAATTGTAAATTGTTAAATTAAATTGTTGTACAACACCATTCAAAAGATATTGTAACTTCGAGCAAAACCTTCATGTTTCCATATGACTTCCTCATGTAGAGATCATAAGCAAAGTGAATAAAAGATTTTGTCATTTGCAACATAAACAACATGACGTCTAAACTTGTTGAGACGATTCTTTAAATAATTTCCATTCTGTAGATTAATGACGATCTCCTAACTCATTATATCTCACATATCAACACCATTCGTGGAGAATCTAGATGCAAGCTTTCAAATAGCTTGGTCGCTTTTGACAAGTTTACATTATGAACTAGATCAATGTTGTCCACTAATTTTTGATCAAGATCGACGTTTTTAAAGAAACAAAAAATTTAAAGAAACCTTCCTTTTTTTTGCTCTGATTCCCAGATATAGATATTTCAGATTCATGATTTTTTTGGCAATAGACGTTATGGTCACCACTGATTTAGAGCTTATAAATAAAAAATGGTAATAATTGGGTTCATTCTTGTTATGGATCTAGTCTTTATCGCCAATTACTAAGGTTTTATGTATAAAAAGTTTTTCCCCATCGCTTTTAGTTTTTGAGTTATGGTTGAGTTAATTTTCCAAAATCAATAATTTGGATGTTTAATCGATTTAGAGCTTATAAATAAAAAATGGTAATAATTGGGTTCAATCTTGTTATGGATCTAGTCTTTANGGATGGAAAAACTGGATTCTTTTTCTTATGGTTTGTAAAGCGAGATTACGGAGTGAAATTAGAAATACGATCTGATTTAGAGAGGTTAATTTCAATGTATCAAAATGATTCTTTAGGTGATACTGATATGATTAGTTGGAACAACTGAATTTTGTGTTCATAACCGCTTTGATTTAGTCTTTGCTTTGTTGTAGTCAATTAATAGGTCATGATGGTGTTAAAAGATGCTGATTGTGTATTCTCCAACAATATATGTTTAATAATTACTTATTGTTTATAGTTCTCATTCATGCTGGAGTGACAGTAGTTAAACCATTTAACTTCCTTATATGCTTCTTAAAATCTTTGAAAATTTTATGCAAAAATAGTTAGTTGATGATAATGTTAATGTAAAATATTTTATGACTTATGCCACCCGGAGCTTCACCTGTATGGTGATACGTCACCTTTTCTTAGGTTGCTAACGTAGTGCTTGTCTTGTATTCGACGATCATGTTTTTGGGAATCTGAATGCACTTAAATACTGTTGATGTTCGGAATCTGGAGGATTCAACGTGCTTTTTGCTAGGGACATGATACGGAGATGTCTTGCGTGTTATCCCGACAGCTAACACTTTTAACCATATCGTTCTTATTTAGTAGTTATCTTATTATGTTTGTATGTTATGTTTAATATATATTTAATGAGTGAAGAGATGTAGATGATTAGAATAATATCTTGATATTATACTACGTCACAGCCAAGTATCTGTGAAATCACAAATAAAATATCAAAAGCACTTCAATTTCAACGTACTTCAATGTGGTGTAATCCTAATTTGATTAATTTGGTCTAAAACTTTTGTTTACGGAACTCAAAGAAGTTTTGCTCATTCTCTTGAGTACAATGGTTAGAATTATGCGAAATTAGTCTGATAAAAAAATGCTGAATTAGCTGTTTTTGGAGGCAACTAAATTTTGTTAGAATAAATTGATATATTTAAAAAAATCGTATCTAGATTGCTCGTGATAATTATGAGATAATTTTTGTACCAAATTGAACCTGAAATATTCCCCTTTTAGATGGTTTATAATAATATTGAGAATTATACAATGATTTTCTTGGCGATCTACTCAAAACTGCTTGGCGATCTACTCAAAACTGCTTTGCGATCGACCAGTCGATCGGAATCGACGTTATGGACACCACTGAACTAGATTATTGAATCAAATCATTAAAAATGATTCTATCAGGTTGTGTGGATTAGGATGTAGTTTTCTGGACTGAATTGTAAATCTTTCGTGATTAGCTAACCTCTAAATAATGTTACACAAGACGTACAGCAAATTTGAGTTGCTTAAAATTTGTCCTGAACTTCAATTTAATCCACATTTCAAAGTTAGTCCACCACACGCATGGCAGAGGTAGTATGAGATATAGACGTAGTATGTATTAATCAGTTGAAAGTAGATCTGGTCACCATAAGCGTAGGCGAGGTCGCTTGGCTATGCCTAGTGATAAAATTTTTGCGTGATAAGACAAGGCTCTTTAGTCAACACCATAACCTTGGCTAGCCTCGGCATAAGCATAGTCGAGATCCCCTAATTAAATCGGGGTTGCTTCTACATAAGAAGACAATTGTTTGGATGGAAAAACTGGATTCTTTTTCTTATGGTTTGTAAAGCGAGATTACGGAGTGAAATTAGAAATACGATCTGATTTAGAGAGGTTAATTTCAATGTATCAAAATGATTCTTTAGGTGATACTGATATGATTAGTTGGAACAACTGAATTTTGTGTTCATAACCGCTTTGATTTAGTCTTTGCTTTGTTGTAGTCAATTAATAGGTCATGATGGTGTTAAAAGATGCTGATTGTGTATTCTCCAACAATATATGTTTAATAATTACTTATTGTTTATAGTTCTCATTCATGCTGGAGTGACAGTAGTTAAACCATTTAACTTCCTTATATGCTTCTTAAAATCTTTGAAAATTTTATGCAAAAATAGTTAGTTGATGATAATGTTAATGTAAAATATTTTATGACTTATGCCACCCGGAGATTCACCTGTATGGTGATACGTCACCTTTTCTTAGGTTGCTAAAGTAGTGCTTGTCTTGTATTCGACGATCATGTTTTTGGGAATCTGAATGCACTTAAATACTGTTGATGTTCGGAATCTGGAGGATTCAACGTGCTTTTTGCTAGGGACATGATACGGAGATGTCTTGCGTGTTATCCCGACAGCTAACACTTTTAACCATATCGTTCTTATTTAGTAGTTATCTTATTATGTTTGTATGTTATGTTTAATATATATTTAATGAGTGAAGAGATGTAGATGATTAGAATAATATCTTGATATTATACTACGTCACAGCCAAGTATCTGTGAAATCACAAATAAAATATCAAAAGCACTTCAATTTCAACGTACTTCAATGTGGTGTAATCCTAATTTGATTAATTTGGTCTAAAACTTTTGTTTACGGAACTCAAAGAAGTTTTGCTCATTCTCTTGAGTACAATGGTTAGAATTATGCGAAATTAGTCTGATAAAAAAATGCTGAATTAGCTGTTTTTGGAGGCAACTAAATTTTGTTAGAATAAATTGATATATTTAAAAAAATCGTATCTAGATTGCTCGTGATAATTATGAGATAATTTTTGTACCAAATTGAACCTGAAATATTCCCCTTTTAGATGGTTTATAACAATATTCAGAATTATGCGAGATAAGCCAGAAAAGTGATGGCTGAATGTATTATTTTTGGACGAAACAAACTTTTTTGAATGAATTGGTAAATTTCAAAAAATCATATCTAGGTTACTCGTGATAATTATGACGTAATTTTTATACCAAATTGAACCTGAAACATTCCTCTTTTAGATGGTTTATAATAATATTCAGAATTATGCAAAATAAGTCAGAAAAAAAATAATTGCTTATGTACAATTTTTGGATTCAACTAATTTTTTTGAATGAATTGGTGAATTTCAAAAAATCGTATCTAGATTGCTCGTGATAATTATGAGATAATTTTTGTACCAAATTGAACCTGAAATATTCCCCTTTTAGATGGTTTATAATAATATTCAGAATTATGCAAAATAAGTTAGAAAGAAATAATTGCTTATTGTACAATTTTTGGATTCAACTAATTTTTTTTGAATGATTTGGTAAATTTCAAAAAATCGTATCTAGATTAGTTGTGATAATTATGACGCAATATTTATGACAAATTGAACCTGAAACATTTCTCTTTTAGATGGTTTATAACAATATTCAGAATTATGCGAGATAAGCCAGAAAAGTGATGGCTGAATGTATTATTTTTGGACGAAACAAACTTTTTTGAATGAATTGGTAAATTTCAAAAAATCGTATCTAGATTAATTGTGATAAATTGAACGTGAAACATTGCTCTTCCAGGCAAATTAAAACCGCAAAGAAATAATAACAGTGTGTACTATTTTTGGAAATAATTAAAATCTGTTTGAGAAAATTTGTAAATTTCAACAAATCGTATCTAGGTCATTGATTAGATTACATGATTATTATGACACAATTTTTATAACAAATTGAACCTGAATTACACTTTTACATGGTTTATAAGAATATGCAGAATTACAAGTCAGATATAATAGATATTTTATTAATCTTTAACTAGTTAAGATAATAATGTCATAAATAAGCCAAAATATGGCTATGAAAACAAATAAAAGATATCAAAGATAAATCACAAAGAAGCCAATAACAGAGCAGATAAAAACCCGACTTAAATATTTAAAGAAATAGAATAATTTTCAATTTGATTTGGTATATTTTTTATAAGTAACCATAAACTAATAGAATTAACGGTTTATGAAAGAAATATGAATCGAATCATGCAAAAAGGTACATATCTAAAAGGTGAATTCTCTTAAGGTGAAATTACGAGAAGTAAAAATATAATTTCTAGAAATCTAACAACTCCGAAATTCTTAATAGAATATAGATACTTGCTTATGTTACAAGTGGGCTATTACTCTACATATTCATCCAATAAGTGAGATTAGTCATTATATTAAGAGTATAAACATGTGGTCACGTTGACAGAAAAGCTGAACATTATAAGCCTTGTTTATAGGAAACGAAAACTGTCCTCTTTCTGGGCACTTATGATGATTTGATACATTTATTACTAGGATCCCTTTTTTATAATTAATATAACAAGTGATGTGTGGCATAAATTAATACTATCATAACCATCTTAACCAAAGTGAATATCTAAGGTCGCTCTCAGGCTTCCTGACCGGCCATGCGCCCTTAAAATATCACCTCTTCCACATTAGACAAGCTGAGGATCAAACTTATCGACTTTGCAACGACGAGTCAGAGACTGCTAATAGGAAACAACACTTTGGAGCAATAATAAGGTTCATCAAGGACCTACATTTGCCCTAAACCTTTGGAGGGGTTAAGTTAGAATACATCTTATAGGTTATAGGCAATAATAATAATAATGTCTTGATGATGTTAGGTATTAGGTGTACAATCGGTTTTAAACTTACTCAAAGTATTTGATTGATAACCAGGTCTTTATGGTTGACGGTTTAATTCTCAAGCGACCTTGAATATTATATATTTCTGTCAGAAATATGACTTATTGGGGGAGTATGCAAAGAGTCTGACAGGGTTTGATACAGATTTGGTTTGTCCTCCCCTTACTCTTCATACATACAAGATGAATCAGGTTTAAATCATTCCACGATTTATGATGTAAACAAAGCGAGAGTGATAATAAAATGTTAATTAGTCCCTCATATGTTAAATCATTTAAATTCTATTTGAATGTATAACCTAATCTTATTTATCTTCTTTTGATAAAATCATACTGTAAATTGTAAAATTAAACAATCATTTAAATCAACTCGTATGAATTAGATTATGATAAGACACGTTGTAAGGGTACTCAGAACATATTTATAATTTACATTTCGATTGGTGATTAATTAAGTTTCTAAGTATAAAATTTCTAATTAATCATTAATTTGATTAAATAAAAATGACAAAAATAATGTCTAATAATTCACTTTTTGGATTTACTTAATCCATATCTTTTTATTACACGATAATTATTGGATTATCACATTAAAAAAATTACAACCTCATCCTGATTAACGTGCATTGTATCAAAGAATATATGTAATTAATTTTTAAAACCGAACAAAGTGAATCGGCAAAAAACGTTTTCATGAAAAAGAATACAAATTTAAAAATAATGGAACGTCTTAAAACCTTAAGCACATTTTTATCGCTTATCATCATCAAACTCAAGTACTAGTATCAAAAATGTCTCATTAATTAATTTATAGCTCAGTGTATTCTTATCGATCGTATTGTGTAAAATATTTTTTTTTCTTTTGTATTCGAAATTCTAATTGAAGACGAATCTCCCAAAAAAAAAAATTAATACGTATTGTATGTAAACATGCGTAGTTTATTTCTTGAAAATGTAAAGTTAGATAATATAGATAAAGACTTATCTACAAAAAACTACAATAGGCAATATCGATTAGTTAGTATGTTTATTACCATGCGAAAAATTATGTAATTGATGAATTTAATTCAAAAGAACTTACTTTAATCCAACATATAAAATAAAAAGCATTAATCCATAAACCATATAGCTTAATAAGAATGTATCTGAAATTGCTTTCACCAAACTGGGTTCTTTTCCTTTTAATTTTGATCGAGCAATTTCTTTTTCCCAATTCGTTTGAAGTCGATCGCCCAAAATTTCGGAATTATCCGAATTTAAAGTTTTAAATAAATCGGTTACATTTACTCCACGTTTAACACCTTTGTAAAAAATATTTCCCATCCATCTAAACGAAGAAAATTTTTTTAAAAAGTCATTCATTTTATGAAAATTGATTTTCTTACGCAAAAGTTAATTTTGAAAAAATATTTGCTACAGCTTTGGGATTTTCCCGAGTAATAACGAACCCGGGATCCATTTTTTATTAATCACTAATAAATGATTCACTTTTAAACACTTTAACACCAATCTTGCAACTATCAACAAATAATTCACTTTGAATGTTTTGGGAACGTATCGGAATGCGCTTCCGATTTGTGAATAATACTGGTAGTTTGGTGTGTGAATTCCGCCTTTATAAAACTCCTCAATTGCCAATTCACAGTCCGTTAAGATAAGATTATATTGGGATGCCGTGAATTGGCTATTCTCCGTTTTGAACCAAATGTACGATGACGGAGTCAGAATTAAATAACAAAAAACTTTACTTTTGCGATAACCCTTCGGTTAAAAATAACTGTTGAACCGCAAGTGTGTTTTTTATTTTAGTTTTCTAAATCAGGAAGTAATGATTAACTCATCCAAATTCAAACATACGTGTTAAAACAAATATTTACTTCCTTGTTGAAACTAAAATAATAATCTTTTCTCTTCAGGGAAATTTAGTGCACAAAATATATTTGTTTAGCTTTTTTCAATAAACTTAAGTAAGAATTTGCTTTAAAAAAATCTTTAAATTGTTAATCATTTTATGACAAATCTATTGTAAGAATTTGTATTTTTTATGAATTACTCTTTATGATAATCCTAGAATCTGATATAATTTGGCATTGTCATTTCGGATAGGAATTTAAAATAGTTAAAATGAATTACCCAACATATTGTTTCTATCATAAAAAGATTAAATTTTAGATAGTAATGTTTCATTTTTTTTTATTTCAAGGAGAAATGCGATTTGTATCATTTTTCTTAAGTTTTATCTTTTGTACGTATAAACTTAAGAAATGTATTGAAACACAATGGTTATATTAATTTTATGTTATCTTTTATTGTTGTTATATAATAGTGGTAATAAAACATTTTAGATTCTTTATCTTAAAATTATCAGTTTGAAGCGCATACTTTGTTGAACATTATAGATTTGTATTTATTTATAATATAAGTTTATATATTTTTTATAATCATAATAAACCCACAAAATGGCATTGAATGACCGGCGACTGAAAATCTTCGAGCTAGTAGACATGGTAAGCATTTTAATTAACTGGAGCGATTTACACATAACCTTCTCGTAAATACATGGTATATGTAGCACTGATAAACAATTATGTTGTAAGTGTGGTTAAAGTAAAAAATTCTTTTCTCCAAAACGGTTGGAATTTAAGAAATAAAACACTTACATGTTACTATGGAATGTTTGAGAGTTTGAGGATAGATTATATCAAACTTTTAGATTCCATAGTGTACAATGGGGCCCTTACCCTCAATCAAATAGAAAGACTGTCTTAAAAAAAAATCTATAAACTATGTAAAAATAGAAGGATTGGTAACATTTTCAAATCCTAAAATTGTTTAATTTTTGCAATAATTAATATTAAAATTCAAATCCCCTCTATAAAAGCTTTGGTGACGTTTACGAGGTTTTCGCGTAAGATCAAGAAGACACAAATCTGCATCGTTCGGATCTCTTCTTCTAGCGCATAAGATCCTCGTGGCATCTCGCTCATACACCTTGTATTTAAACCAACCGCGTGCGAAACGACAGTGATGTCTCCAAAGTTTTTTCAAATTTTCATTATTTTTTTTGGAAAAACTAAAGCCCAATTTGAAAAATAAAAAATTATAGAAGTCTTCAATTTTGCTAAACTATCGAATAAGTCAATAAAAAAAATGTGTAACGGCCCCATTCAACTATACAGGATGGTTCAGTTTTTAATCTGGAAACTTTACTAGAATGTAGTACTTGCCAAAATAACACAAGCTATTTATACAGGGTGATCCATTTAACGTGAGACAAGCGATTATCTCGAAAACGGTTCATTTTACATCAAAATGAACCAAATGAAAGTCACGACCTATTTTTTAAATGGCAACAGTAATTACAAAAAAAATAAAAAGACGATTTCACTGTGTGGTTTTGCCAGTACAGGGTGGTTCAAATTCGATGTCCGCATAGGCTAACTCGGAAACTATAAGAGTTAGAAAAAAAGTAGCTTACATGTCATGATCTCGTTTTTCGAGAAACTGCTAATGCCGAAAACCTCATAGCGCTATCGTCTTTTGTTTTTCCCCTAGAGGCCAAAATTGAAAATATCGTAAAACCAATAAGTGCAATTATCTTGGTTATTATTATAGGTGGAGTATTATAACTACGACGTTATATGGACACTTTTTTACAGAGAATTTCATGACAGTGTAAAANTAAAAAAAAATCTATAAACTATGTAAAAATAGAAGGATTGGTAACATTTTCAAATCCTAAAATTGTTTAATTTTTGCAATAATTAATATTAAAATTCAAATCCCCTCTATAAAAGCTTTGGTGACGTTTGCGAGGTTTTCGCGTAAGATCAAGAAGACACAAACGTGCATCGTTCGGATTTCTTCTTCTAGGGCATAAGATTCTCGTGGCATCTCGCTTTTACACCTTTTACTTCAACCAACCGCGTGCGAAACGACGGTGATGTCCCCAAAGTTTTTTCAAATTTTCATTAATTTATTTTGGAAAAATTAAAGCCCAATTTGAAAAATAAAAAATTATAGAAGTCTTCAATTTTGCTAAACTATCGAATAAGTCAATAAAAAAAAAAGTGTAACGGCTCCATTCAACTATACAGAGTGGTTCAGTTTTTAATCGGAAAACTTTACAGGGTGGTTTAAATTCGATGTCCGCATAGGCTAACTCGGAAACTATAAGAGTTAGAAAAAAAGTAGCTTACATTTTACAAAATTGAAAATATCGTAAAACCAATAAGTGCAATTATCTTGGTTATTATTATAGGTGGAGTATTATAACTACGACGTTATATGGACACTTTTTTACAGAGAATTTCATGACATAGTCAAAAAAAAATTTTCAGTTTTAGATTTTGAGATATCATGAGAATTTTCGTTTTTTTAAATAGAAACAACCACTGATTATTCGCTTATTAAATTCGTTATTTTTTTCTGATTACAAAAATATAGGGTTCGACAGGTCTGTTTCTTATTGTTTTAGAATAAAGCTAAAAATAAACTTTTTTTATAAAATTACAGTTTCCTGAAAGTTACGGGGCGGTTGGTAAAATCTAAAAAGTTAGCAATTAAATACGAAAATAACTTCTGGTATTTAAAAACAAATAATTTTTTAATATGTAACATTCTAACATGTCAAACTTTTCAAAAATTTTCGTAATTGATCTTAAAAACAGGATTTTTAAAGTGACACTTCAGAAAATTTTTGAATACAAACAAATGTTGCTATGTTTATTTGAATTTAAAAAAAATAAAGTCCCTAGATTTACAAAGTACCGCGGTTTGACGCCATTTTGGCTCGAAAGTCAAGCGGGAAATTTAAAACTATATCGTTCTATTGATAACATTACGCCAAATTTCCTTTCATTTTTTCTCGTGGTACCCTGAAGAGTCGAAAGTCCTTCTTACTGTCATTTTTGCAACTCCATAGGCAACAAGACGGCAATATTTTTGTAAATAAGTGGTGAGAAGCAGTGACAAGTTGTCAAACCGCCATTTTGGCTCGAAAACAGGCGTCATGAACCGCGGTACTTTGTAAATCTAGGGACTTAAAAAAAAAAACATATGAGCGCCGTCTATCGATAATTTATTAAGTCATTTAATAATAATATTAAATCGTAATAAAAAATGTGAAATAATGCAATCTATTCCAACTTTTGTATAAAACATATATAAATTAAACAGTTCAACAAATATATTTGTTTCAAATATCAGAAATATGTTTTTTTAATTTTTAGTTATAGAACCGTAATTTACAGGAAACTGTAAATTTAATTTCTTCGACGACACTAAAAGAAAAGTTTATTTTTAGTTTTATTCTAAAACAATAAGAAATAGACCTATCAAACCCTATATTTTTGTAATCAGAAAAAAATAACGAATTTATTAAGCAAATAATCAGTGGTTATTTCCATTTAAAAAAACGAAAATTGTGATAATATCTCAAAATCTAAAACCGACAAAATTTTTTTGACTACGTCATCAAATTCTCTGTAAAAAAGTGTCCATATAATGTTTTAACTATAATACTCCACCTATAATAATAATCAAGATAGTTACATTTGCGGGTTTTACGATATTTTCAATTTTGGCCTCTAGCGGAAAAACAAAAGACGATAGCGCTATGAGGTTTTCGGCATTAACAGTTTCTCGAAAAACGAGATCATCACCTACTTTTCTTCTAACTCTTATAGTTTTCGAGTTAGCCTATTCGGACATCGAATTTGAACCACCCTGTACAACGGCAAAACATCTTTTGAAAAAAATTGAAACTTCTTCAGAAACAATTAACGTTTATAATCTAGCAAGAACAAATAAGATTTATGAATTCTTAAACATTTTCTTACCCGCTTCAATACATTGTCTTTAATTCTTAATTCTTAGAATACTATTTAACCCTTTCAAGACAATTTTTTATATAGAGAAGGTACATACTGGTACATACGATGTGCCAGAAGTCTCGAAAGGGTTAAGAATGCTCAACAAAAAAAATCCAGAAGAGGTACATCGGGTGACCTGGCTCGTCGGAAATACCTTTAGAAAGAGGTCTGAAAGGTTCCAACATTTCTCCGCCTTTGTCAATTTGATAATAGAATAACGTATAAACAACAAGAGTTCGTAGAACTGCTTATGTCGGCATTTTCAGAATATCGCTTTCAGAGACTTAATTGGTTGAATTGTTTTAAAATATAACAGGTAAAACTAGATTTGCATAAAAACTATTTGGCAACAAATTCTGAATTCATTCCATCGTTTTACATTAAAGCAAAGTGTTTAAACTAAGTCATTAAAGACGACCATATAATAAATTATAAAAGAAAGACAAAAATCAAAACCACTTTGAGGAGTTGGAGATTTTTTTTTTTTGTTAGATTTCGGTTAAAAAAGACACAGTTTTGTCAATCTTGGTTAAAATTGAGACGAGATTATACAGTATTACATTATAGGTTATATTATTTTTTTTTTTTAATTACTAGATTATTATTTATTTTCTATAACATTTTTATATTCGTTTGCCAAATCCATAAGCAAGTTCTTTTCTGCTGTACTAAAATTTGATGATCTTTTCTTTCTCTTGCTTATCCATCACCACAATTATAAGCTTAATTTATTTT